ACTTGTGATGACGGGTTGAAAATGACGGCCGAGTTATAATAAACAAATGACAAACGTTAACAAAAAATCTAAAATTTGAGGTTATTTATGTCACACAAGATCTTATACACACCGGTCCTTCCTTTCTCCTTCCATACTACATGACTCTCTTAAAAACCCTCTACAAAATCCTTTGAAGATCCACTGAAGACCCACTATAGTTCTGGACAATAGCATCATCGTCTTCCCCATCATTTTTTACCCTTAGATCGGCATTAGAACGTCAATCGGATAAAAACTCGAAAAGTTGGTGAAAAGGGTTCTGGCCGTTTGACTCGGACTTTAGTAAATGAGGTATAATTTTTGAAAGAAATTTTTTCTCAAAAAACTGCTCGTATAACTTTGTAGAGCTTTTCAAGACGCGTCGAATGGTGTCAAGTTTTTACTTCTACGACCTTCCCACGGGGGCTTGCAAAGTTTGGGAGAAAATTTTGGATCTTTGGAGTCTGGACTACGCCGAAAAACCAGTCGAAGGTTTCGAACACTAAAAAAGCACATGGCTAGAATCAGTTCTCAACGCTGAATTCCAAATATCGAAACCGCAGACTTGTACATCAGGGGGAAAAGTTATGAAGTTTTTCCGAAATCTCGATTTTTTTCGAGGATTCGATCGAGATTTAGTTTTTGGCCTTTTTCACCAGGAAGAAAAATTCCAAAAAATGGCGGGACCACATATTCGTGATCAGCGAAAGAAACTGCATCGAATGATGTATAAAAAACGAAATCTAAAATCCACTAAAACCTTGCCTTAGCGGCAGCTTACATCATTTCCAGTGGCTGTATCGCTAAGGCTTTCGTCGGTCAGAGTAATGTTTTGAACCGTTCATTGTCTGCTCAGTCAAACGACGACACAAACTTGATCTACGAGTTGGAATCTAAATTTTACAAATCAGTACGAAAAAGATTTCGGTTAAGTGGAATACTTTTCGACTGGATGGATGCATTCGACGTCGTTGATCTGAGACCATCAGTCGTTGTTATTGTTTCACAGTAAGAAAATCGCCAAGATGTTGCTCTTCGTCTGTCCATTTGCCTCGTTGACAATGTGTTCTTTGTGTATGAATCACTCGACGAGATGCTGAATTGCAATGGGGAACTTGCGGATTTTGAAATGAAGTGTAATTAATATTGTTGTCAATTATATCCATGTCTGCAATAATTGTTACTGTGATGCCTGCTGTCGTTGATGCGCTGCTTGCTGATGTTGTTGTTGAGAGTGTTGGGGAGTTACTTGACCCAACCAGTGATCTTGCGCATTTTGTAACAGATCAGCCGGCAATGCTGGCGACTACTGTTGTGAGCGAGAAGGTGTTGTCGACATCTTCCTTTTCTAACGGATGCTTTGAATAATATCTAGAACATATATAGATGCATAGATATTTTGCCATTTCTAATAAGTCGATTTGTTATTTAATTCTGAAGTTATCGACTTTACCACCAAAGACAATAATAATGAATAACAATCATTATATAGCATATAATGATTGTAAATATGTTAAATTGTTACTTTGTATATAATATATACAAAGTAACAATTTCATAGATTTTCATGCAATATATAATACATATCTATCAAGCCATGTTCATCTCCTCACTCGCCAGTGAAGTTGGATCCGATGACAAGCCATTGTCTAGATGATCCAAAGGATTACCAACCGAATGACCGAATATGTTCAGTTTGGTTTCGGCATGAGTGCTGAAGAGTGCTTCGACAAGTCGTCGCAATTCATCCGAACCATTTTCCGACACCAGAAATCAATCACAAACAACATATGTACATATTTCTTTCGAGGCAACCATTTTGATCACTTACGGACAGCAACGATTGTGGCATTATACGAATCCACATCCACACTGGGCATCTTCAAATCACTATAGTCTCGAAAATATTCGAATTGTTTGAGAAGTTGTCGATTCGAAAAACAAAAGCCCTCCGGTGATTCAGGCGAACGTTCAAGATAGTCAAGTGCTTCTTGTTTCGTACGTATACGCATTGCTGTTGCTGCGATTGCTGTCGGATGACGCACACTTTTGATAAAAAGCGTAATAAAAGAATAGTATCACGGTTTAACAAAACCAATTTTTGTGTTGATACCAACTTCAATGAAAGGACGGGGTGCAATAAGAACAAGAATCAGTCCGATTTCAGATCTTCTCGAAAGGTGTCTAAAATTTAAGAGCATGTAATTTTACGATGTTCCAGACCCCTGCTTTCCATTCGGACTTGATATCTGTGAGATAATCGATTAGCTTTGACCAATAACTCCGCGAACCCATTGCGATGTGTTTTCGTACTTTTCTCAGAATGAAACAAGTTTGAAGAAAAGTCTTATATACTATTCGAAACTTGTTTGTTGTTATCGTAAGTGTTTCTAAACTTTCGACCGTTGTTGTCATCTCCGACTTTACAGGAATAAAATGTCTCGCCACCGAATTGCGCAATAACGATAATAGCATTGGCTGTGGAGCCGCCGCTAGTCCGCTTCGAATGCGCCAAATGGCCGGCAAGACAGTCAAGCAGGTGTCTTTGCCGTGCTTCATCCACTAGCGTCATTGCGCCCTTTTCGACTGCCATCGCCAAATCAGCATCCGTTACACTGATCTCTGTATGCATAAGTGCGGCGCCCAAACCGTATACATGGTAGTGTTTTGTCATTGAAGGTCTTTTCCTATAAAGCAAAGATTTCTGTTATAACTGCTGTTCTATTGTGTAGGCGATCTAATACTTCTTAGTCTATAGTATTCACTATCTAGCCATGCTTTTGTATACGTTTCTCTCCCAAAAAGATGTCCAGTGTTTGGCATTGCAATTTTGAAAAAATCGCTACCTCGCTTTTTGGCAAAAAAAGCACTCAACCTTGAACCACCCTTAGAGTAAATTTCTGAGAAACTAAGACATTGACGGAGGGTTGACACGTCGAAGTTGCGTGATTTTTAAAAGTGTTGTAGAGAGCACTCCGTTAAAAACGTTCTGAAATTTTCAACTTAATCAGAGCAGCTGCCTGAAGTGCAGTCCTCATTACAAGATCAAATTTTTATGAGCATTTTTTTACTTAAATTTTTTTACAGTTTTACGATTTTAAAAAAGTAGCTTTTTATTTCGAAACTGAAAAATTATGGTTTTTGGTACTTCCAGGAGTAAAGATCTTGCGATTCTGCTGTTAAATACAAACACTCAAAACTTTTCATCGAGTAGATGAGCGGCAAGGCATCATTCCCAAAGTGGCATGTTAGCACATGACCGATAAAAATGATAAAATCCATCTCAAAAAAAGGGAGAAACCATTTTTATTACTATTGAACAGATATTAATCTCAATACCGTGACCTATCCGATAGAACTTTGAATTTTCGTTGGATAGAAAACATCTTAATCTATGTGTAGAGGCTAAAAATGAAAATTGAAAACAGCGGATGTTCGGGCTCGGGAGAAGCGAAAAGTGCCCTGATCGAATTTACTCTCCGTTAAAGATTGGTTGAATGCAAACGGATCGGACAGTAAGGATGTGCTTTTATTTCAATAAAATATAGAATACAAAATGCGAAGCGACGAAAAATCCTGGCTTTATAGTTTTCGGGATGAGAAATTCGGTTTGTTTCCACTATTGGTGTAACTATAATACCACAATATTCTACAAATTGAAAAAGACAAGGTTATCCGACTCATACACCCTTTTTTGTCAACCAGTGCAGCAGTTGCGGTGGCCCGAATGCGGGATTGCTTAGGAAGAAAAGAAAAAAAATCAGCAGCAAAGCTGAATATCCTCTGACCATTAACGACGCGCATGCGCTCTTCGTCATGAATCCGTCCCGAAAGAACGAAAAAATATTTGTCTATTTCAGTGCGTCGCGAAACTTTTGTTTATATAACTGTTTTACCGTTTTTAACAGAGCAAAAAGTGGCGAATGCATAATAGAACGGTATCACGACATTTGTAAAATCTGTATGTTTTCCGTTTGTCGATATTTTAAAAGCTTTCTTCGCGAATCAAGTAGAGCGGCCGATTTTCTATCAGTTGATGCAAGCCGCTAATCTAACTCTGCTCGTAGAACTTGATGCTGTGGGATTTTCGACAAACTACTTTCAAATACGCATTTGTCCCAGTCGAGGCGAATGTGTAATCGCGTTGACATTAGTGGAGTGAACGCTCAATTCAAGTCGATTTCGCTGGAGCCAATAAAACTGAATTTGCCTCAAAAGCACCGATCCCTCTTTTTCGGACTCAAAAACACAAGTTCTTTTTATTTCGATTTCTTTTATTAGTAACACAGCCGCACAGTGCCCTCTTTTGAAAGTGATATAAACGAGAGATTTTCGCTGTTAATTAGAATACCTATTAAACCTGACTTTGGAGACCTATAGAGTAAAAATGAGTTGTGGTTATTTAATTGGAAATTGAGAGAAGCAGTTTCATTGGTCAAACGGAAAGTCGCAGCAACGTGGACTTTCTCATGAACTCAGGTTTCTATGACGTCCCGTTGGCAGAGTATCTGTTTTTATCCATTTTGACCATTGGCATACCTTCTTCTCGAACTAAAACGGCCAAGTGAAAGATTGTACAAAACTCTGATCAGCCTCACTTTGTTCAGAATTTAATTTTCTATCGAACCAGACGATTTTCAGTATTTGTTTTACGAAAATCTGTTGAAAAAATGTTTTAAAGATTAAAACATGTATATTCTTAATTAGTGCGATGTGCTCTATTCAACCATGTATAAAAAAGCGAAAACAAAAATGATGCTGCATCTTTTAATTGGTACTACCGTGTCTCGACGCGATTTCACTGGCTTAGCATGTGCGTGGTCACAGACTGTAGCTAAGATATCCTATAATACTCCATTGCAGATATTCATTTTATCCTACATATCACCAATTCATTTACTCATGTTTTTATTACAAAAAATCTCAGTCGTTCAATTCTATACAATTCAGTGTTTTTCTGTTAATAAATTGGTGAAGTTTTACTCTTTTGATTTTTCAACATAAAAAGTTTCTAATTGCGGACAACTGGTTTTGAATTTATCATCTACTAATAATGATACATCTTTTTCAACGACATATAGTTTTAAAATTTTTAATTTTGGACAATGTTGAATAAATTTAGTGAGAAACTCTGTTATGGGTACCATTGACTGACCAATATTTATTTCTAATTGTTCTAATAATGGATGACTTTTAGCAAATTCTATCAAAGCATTTTCACTAAAATGAATTATTGGTTGTGTATATGATTCATCATTTATTTTATGTCCAGCGATACCATCATGTTTTAATATAATATTTTTTAGATTTTTATTATTGTTCAACATTTCTAAACATGTGTCAGAAAATTCTAGATGACCTTCTAAATCAATTGACAATAGTTTTGGTAATTTGGATATAACTTTATTAATAATATTATCATTAATGTACAACTGTTCTAAACTATACTGTTTATATTTACGGCCA